TAACTGTAAAACAGATAAGAATTAGCTGGTGTGCTAATGCTCAGTGCTCGAAAAACCATGGTGGGTCTCCGAGAACAGTGCTAACCAAGCCGTGGACAGGTTTAGCAATGGAATCGATCTGGTGTGACTAACAAAGCAGAAAAATATCCAAGGCTAGTTGCGCCCGGCGAAAAAAGCTAAACAAGATTTGCCTGTGGACTGTTAAGCTAGCTAGCTCTGGATGTGAAATATGCTCCAAGTGAGAAGAGGTGTTTGAATGAGGTGGTGCCGTCCGCATGAGGTATTAAAGGTAGATGGGACTACCCAAAGTAGACGGACATGTTCACCAGCCAGTAAGGGTTGGCGCAATGGTGCAGATTTTAATGTTACAAAGACACTCTAGGACACCAGACAGTCCGTGCATAAATCAATACTAAAAGGTGATAGTACAAGGACTTCACCAGACTCACAGGGTTTTTTCTCTGGCTTTCCCTCATTTACTCTCGCTTTGTCTCGCCTTGGTAATTCTGGTGCACACACACTCACAGAAACACACACACAGCAGCACATGAGTAAACTGACCTCAAAAACAAATGGAGCAAAAAAAGCAACAATATCAGCGATGCCGGTGAGTCAGAAGACGAGCACAAACGCAGACTGATCTCCTTATATATCTGTGTGTGGTCTAATTTGCAGCGGTGACTCTTCAGTCTACCTCTTTTTTAAACCAGCGTGTGTTTTACTTTCACGAGGTGTTAGCTTTGCATTAATCCTATAAGAAATGTGATTACAGTGAGTTTAGCTTTGAGTCCCTCTCCTGCAGCCCTGCAGATGACAGACAGCAGCACCATCCATTTCCCTCTCCAAATAAACCCCTGTAGGATAAATGGGCAGCCTTGGAGCCGCTGGTGGACTTTGCTCAGTGGTGCGAGAATTCATTTTTGCAGCTTAGCATCAGGACGCGTTGATCGATTTCAGATGCCCGTGTTGTCGAGGGCCGAGCAGCTTGACAAATACAAATACCTGGACATGTTTATTGATGACAGATTGAGCTTTGACCACAAGACAGCAGATTTGCAGGAAGGGACGTCTCATATTGTTTGTGATACATAAACCCAGGCACTCTGCAGTCAACTGCAGCTTTGCGGCTTATCTTTTGCACATCTCTTATTGAGTGCAATTCTTTTCTGCAAGATGTAGATCGTAAACAGAGAGAGTAAATAAGGTAATCCAGGGCAGCAACACTTGTTTGACACATTTAATCTCATCTTTAATCCCATAACTCTGTGTGTCAGTCATGCAAAGCCAGTCTTCGGTAAACAGGACTCTGACAAATACAAATAAAGATGGCTTGATTTGTATGATGGTGACAGAAACTGCAAAAGCGATTTAGGTCTTAAAACATATTTAAATTTTACAAGAACTGTGCACCTTAAATTTTGATTTTACTTTTGACATTAGTTACACAATTGTAAGTCCTTTTGACGTACTTCCCTCATAGGATTTATTTTAAAAAATCCTCCTCATACTAAAATTTGAAAGACATACTTGCGGAGAAAGCAATATTTTGTCACACATATTAAAAAAGGTTTAATCTCTACAGAAAAGCTGTTTTTCTTTCCTTCACGGAAAATAAATAACTTTCAACTGGACAAAATAAATCACTGGGAGAGTTACACTCATTCATCATGTGCACATCATGAATCATGTGATTGTCGTTCATTCAGCCAGAGGACAAAGTGCTGAGTTGAGTTTATGAACAAAGAAGGAAAACTGTAAAAACTTAAATCCAAGCAAGTGTTCATGTCTCATGTCAACTAAAAACATTTTTTTAGACTCAATATAAACCATATTCATGTGACTACTCCAGAAAGAAATATTATAGTTCAAGATATTGTACACCGTAAATAAAACCTGAGTAAAAAAAAAAAGATCTGCTAAAGAAATAAGAATAAAATGAAATGAGGCATTTTCTTGTTCTAGAGAGTTTTAAAAAACTCAAAAAGTACATTTTTATTAAATAGAAACCCACAGAGGTCATGCTGTTTTACTATATTCTGGGTTTTTATTTCGTCTATCTAAGGCCTTTGATTTAGTCAATCATGATATTTTATTGATTTTATTTGGAGTGCCACAAGGTTCCATTCTGGGTCTTTTACTTTTCCCATCATACCATGATCGCTAATCAAAGAGAAAACAGTAAATTATAAGGCATCTGACTATGGATTGGTTTCATATGGGGTGCTACAAGGCTCCATCCTGGGATCGCTACATTTTGTATTATACAATGATGATTTCAACATGAACTCATCAAATAAATTAACCATCTTGTACTCTAATGATTTCAACATTTTTTTTCTTAGACATGAACTGGAATCTTGAATAAACACAAAACTAAGTGACGTTTTCACCAAGGGAACGAGAAGCAGATACTAATTTTCCAAATTTACAAAATGGTGTTGATTAGAAATGGTTAAAGTCAAAACATTTCTTGGAGATCTTGCAAATTAAAAGCTCCCTAGGAAAAAACACTTAAATTAGATTACTAGTAAGGGAGTGAGAAGTATTTAAGTCATCTGAAGAATAAAGCATTTCTCATCAAGAAATTCCCACACTTTGATTTATCCACATAGACTGTTTAATAAATGATCATAAGGGTTGGTGAAGTCACCCATTTGTTTCTGAAGATGAGCTCTGAAGCCGGGCCAACCAAACTTTCAGTCAACATACCAGAGGCGGTTCCTGATCCTCCGTCCATATGGCAACAATATGCCAGCCTGTCAGTCAAGCCAGCTGAGCTTCAAGGCTGTAAACCTGTTTCTTCTGCACCTTCACATCCACCTGGCTCTTTCTCTCTGTGCGTTGCTGTGTGCGGACCAGTTTCCCATTCCTCTCTCAAGGTGTTCCAGTCACTCAAGGAAAATATACCGACATGCCCTGACACTATAAATCACTGAGGTAATCATAGAAAGTGATGAAATGGGAAAATCCAGGCACATCTAATCGATAGCAACTCCAAAGCATGATTTTCTTGCTTTTGCTGTTGGGGGGAAACATATCATTCTGGTTCATGAGATCTATTATGTGTGTGACATGAAAAATAGATATTATTTACCCCCTGCGGCCTCTGTGGGCACATTATTAATGGCAGTGCTGTGCAGGGATGTGAATAAATGTGCAAAAGCATACAGGGACAAGGAGTAAGTTGGCTGCAGAGTTTTGACCATTATTATTTATCTAAATGCCAGAATATAAGCACCAGAGCTTTATTATTCTGCATTGCATCACACATAAACATACTATTATACTTATTTGAGTTTTTGCAAAGTTTGTGCATCATAAGACCAACTTCTACCCTGCTGTATCCTCTTTTTATAAAGTCTTGCTACACAAAATTTAAGATCTCTAAAAGAAAGAAAAAAAAAACATGTTTTCAATCAGCTTGGAGACAGAGCTCACATTGTATCTTCTGATGGTGAAGTGCAAACACCTGTCATTTTTTTACACAGTTTTTCTCAGATGAGGAGAGAAATATGCAGAATTTAGCCTCCTCAAATTCCAGTAATCGCAGCTTTTGGTCATATCAAAATTCTTGTTCGCACCTCCAAACAGTTGCTGTTTTTCCCCTTTTGATCAAACCACGTTTTCAATATATACTCTGCACATAAGTGTCTGTGTGTCCTAGTTTTTCAGAAGAGTCCTCAGCAGCTGCAGGCGTGAAAGTGGGACCGTGAATGGTCAGGTGGCTGGCTGCTGTGTCACAGAAAACAAGGAATCTAAAAACAGGACACAGTTCTCTCAGACAGCATCTGAGACTGACAGGTCGCTGCTCCAGGGATCACATGCCTGTGCGTGTGCAGGCACACTTACAGGTGTAATCAATAGCCAAGAGGTATACATTTAGACGTACAGACACATATATGAAGGCTCTGACGCACCAAGGTGTACACACCCAGACCAGATGGGGTCTCTGAGTGAAAGACAACATGTGTGACAGGTGAAGACAGATGGTGACAAACAAAGTGGACCTTTCACAGCAACCTTGCAGAAACAGACGAGATGTTTGGCTACTGGGACACCGCTCAGGAAAGGAGAGGGAACAAGAGTTGACATTTCAGACTTATTTCTACCCTGGAAAATCCACAGCTTCTCTGGAAATCTAAAAATAAATGTCACAACATGTTTTTGCAGGCAACATCTTTTCTCAAACTCATCTCCAGCTCTTACTGAGAATGTAAAAGCCATGCTGATTTTGGTCTTCTTGGACATGACTCCCTCCACTTATTTTCATTTTTTTTTCCGTAAAAACACAGCATTGAAACGTGCAATCTGCTGACAACTATTGTTCACACACATATCAGGTTGAAGCACTATGAAACTATGTTAAAAATAAACGCTCTTCTTTGGTCCACCACGTTCTCAAAAGACAAGAACACCCATTTGTGAGGCCAAATTTCTCACTTAAACAATCAAAATATAGTGGCAAACACAGGTGTAGTGGGAGAAATACGGCGATGGTGATCTGTATTTACAGCCTGCCTTCCAAGGTGCAGTGCAAAAAAATTCACAAAAGTGCAAAAAAAAAAAGTCAAATACCATTTACAAAATGTACAAGGCAAAAAAGAAAATACCAACAAGGCAGGAGTTCCACCATAACTCTTGATTCTCAATCAAGAAAAAAAAACAGCAATACAAAATTCAGTTTGCCAGTTACCTTCCATGGAACAAACTTCAGGCTAAAGGAAAGGCCCAGGCAGCCTTCTTTTAAACCCTCTTAGCCACTCCCAGTGGGCGTTTTTAATTCAATAAGTTTGGAAAAAAAACTAATTTATTCACATTTAAAAGCATTTTTAACCTTCAGAACTTTTTCTGTAAGTTTTTGCCATTAAATCAATGGAACATTAACTTTTAGGTATTAAAACAACAAGGGAATTAATTTTTCTTGCATCATGTGACCACTTTGACCCTCCATACACACCTATATACAACACGGATATTATGCGCTCTGTTTCCTCATTTGGAAACCTGATCCGGCTTGATGGCGTGAATGGACACCCGATAAGTAAGTGGAGAGATTAATATCAATGTGAATGTATGTTTAAGTTAGTTGTGCACCCTTGGCTACTCTATCCAACAGAGCAGGGAGAAGGAAACGTCGGGCTGTTTGTAGGGTAAATAGCGACGCTGGCAGGGAGGGAGATGTTTGGCGCGTGCGAGGACGCTGCTCCGTTACACCCCCTAAACGTTAAAATCGTGGAAATATTTCTCACGTTAAATTACGAGTAATATTTCCACTCCAAAATTGATCAAATGATAGAAAGCTGGGATGACCCCTCATCTCGAGTACTGGATAAAAGCTCTGCGAATGGTAATAGAAACTCATATTTAGTGGTTTGGTCATTTAAGCTAGGTCTAGAGGTACGTTTCTGCGCGTGTTAAAACCGTTCGAGCGGCGACGGCTAACGGCTACACTTGTGGACACGTTACAAGTTTGGCGTCGTGTTGCTTCTTCCTACCCCAACTTGACCACAGCAGAGTTTCTTTACAAGGTGTTAAATTGGTTTCCTTCACCTAACCAGGCGAGTTTTACCGTTTATGTTCGTGTTTTAACGGTTTATTGTACCATTTTGTTTGTTGTACGTGCGCGCTAACAGGGATTTAAGCTAGCTCTAAAGGCGCCTCTCTTTGCAATAACTGTTTGTTTGTTATTTTTACTTTTGTACATTTTACTAATTACACGGCTATTCGGCTAGCAATAATGTGTTTATCTAGCTAAAGGCTCCAAGCTTGGATGGAAGCGTTGACTTCGAGATTTTAGGAGTCCCAGTCCAAACAAAACAAAGTTTATTAGTATTATTTGAAGTAAATGAAAATGGTATTCAATATGAAAGTGTCACGGTGCAATTTTTGCCCTTGAATCATGACAAAAATCTGAATTTCTCTCACATCTTTGTCTTGGATAAAAAAAAATCACCAAAGGAAGAATAAAACACCTATTGCGCTTACACATGTCTTTACAGGTCTGTATTCTTGCTTTAAAAACATGAATTTGTTTATAAATGTGAAATATGCAGTCTGTATTTCCCAGAAGTAGAACTGTTAAAGATTATGTTTACAAATTTAGAAAAAGAAAATGTTCTCATTTGATTTAAGACAAAAAACCCCTGTTTTTAATGAGAATTAAGTCATAGGAAAATCAAGTCTTAATGTTTGGTTGGATCAAAGTCATGTTATTGAAATACAGGGGAATAAAGTCACCTTATTGTGAAAGTAAAGTGCTGATTAAGTTATAGTTTTGTTCAACAGTGAGCAGCCTTTACCTGTGTGGGAATGAGAAACCCAGAGCAGCTTCTACTTGTGTCAGAATGACATGGCAGAAATTGTATCAGGACTCCTAAAAGAGTGCAGTCCAGTCTTTGCACCAAACTAAAAGTTTAGTGTGCTTAGTGTGGTTTATGTGAGCAGAGTTAGCACCATCAGTCATCAATCCTGGTGGTGCATTGCGCTGGTCTGGTAGTTATATGCCAGTTGGACCAGACACAGCCTACATATAAGTTTATCTCCATTTGCTAGCTGTATTACTCTCAGGCTAGAGGTGCACTTAGTCATTATGCTTGTTTACATCCAGGTAGTTGAACATTATTACATCATTGCAGTTACTATTAATTAGAGCTACATTTCTGTATGTTAAACGCATAGTTGTGACATGTAAGCAGAGCGTGAAAGCTTTATTGCATTATAAAAGGACCAGTTCGTGTAGCATTGTCCCTCCATTGTGCATCTTCAGTCACTGATTATTATTATTGTTTTTATTTTTAGGAATTTTTGTCTTAAGTCTTTTCGTACACACGCAATCTAATTTTGTCTGAGTGAATATTTACTGTTTTTTATTTAACTGCCAAGTAAAAAAGTGGTTAAGCATGCCCGTAAAAAGCACTTTATTGAATTGGTTGCATTTATGGAATCTTTTGTTTTGGTTTTCTTAAAATTCTTAATGCGTTAATTATAGATTGGATGAAGTGCTTTTTTGATTGTTTGTTTTGGCCTTGATTTATGGAGTGACAAACTTCTGTTTATTAATTTTGTTCTTTTATTTACAGGGAATCAGGAGCCAGGACTGGTAGCAGGGAGTTAAAGGAGTCATGGAATAAAATGAGGTAGGTTTAAATTCTTTCTGACATATTTTAAGTTGATCCAAATGACTAAAGGCAGCATAAAGGATGCTGCATCTTTGTGACGATACCTGTTTAAGTGTCTTAGTAACCATAGCAGCTTCTTCAGTGTTATCCCCCTCATGTTAAGACCTACATGTTTGCTGCTTTGTCTGTTATTATATGAGCTGAAAACCCAAGGCTGCACAAGTCTGGTTTTATAGAGAAGCTGTTTTCCTCATCCACTTCATCAGTGTTTGTTTGGGACAATGTGACTGTGTGACATTGTGTTTTGTTTGACCAAGTGCAGAAAGTAAACAAAGCCGAATGAACGTGCGACAATTAAATCATGAAATATGCACATCTTAATTTCGGACCATCAGAGTTCCTAAATATTCATTTTGTCTGACCATCTCTCTGAAAATATTTAGTTTATTAAAAAGCTACAAAACTTATAAATAAATGATCAAATGAAAGGGTGAACTTTTTTTGCTCAGAAACAGTGGAATAGTATGTTGATTTATGGTCTAGGTTTAAGGCATATAATCTTTATTTTTGGACATTTCTTTGATGAATCTGAAGTTGGGTTTTTTCACTGCAGTGATGATCTGTCGTCCCTTTTTATCCACACTGTGACATCCATCCTCTTGTCTCAGAGCGCCTCAGTGTCCCCTTATACGAATAAAGCTCTGTCATCAGCAGGGCAGGCAGCCAGTCCACACAGACCACCGTGCAGCTGAATAAACCCCTGCTTATTGATGTGGTGGGGAAATTGTGTTTTTCTGGGCCTGTTGGGGGGCTGACAGTGGAAGCCACGGCCGGATTAGAAGTGGCAGAGGGCTGTGTGAGTGAGAAATGAAATCCGATTTCCTGCTCTGTTTCGGGGCTGACTATCAGGAATATTTTAAGCTGGAAGAAACAATCTGTCTGCTCGGTGTGTCCGAGGAGCTCCACGCCAGATTCTCTTTTCTCCTATAGAAAACGAGGTGCTCTCTCCCGATTTCCTGCCTATCAATGGCATAATACAGGGTTCAAGCCGTGCTGGCTAAGGGTTAAGGAATCAATTTGAGTAAGGGTTAAGATGATGTTTCAGCTGGAATCTCAAGGGCTTATTCCATCTCCTCTGCACATTACCCAGAGTGCATCAGCGGGCGAATCTGCTGCACAAGTAAAAAGGGGAGCCAGACAAAAGGGGAAAGGGATAGAGGCTTCAGTAACAGAGCAGAGCATGTGATAGTAGATCTGTTTGTGCTGAAATTCAATCACCTCCAAACATAGAGAGGAGACAGAATAGTCCTCCATCTTCATCTCATCTTAAAATAACCACAGGTTTTTCTCCTGATGGCTCAGCCTCAGGTGTGCAGACGTGAGGGGGCAGGCGAGGTCACAGAGGGGGGGGCGCTGGGAGGTAAGTGGGTGGTGGGGTTGGCGATCCAGGCTAAAGGTGAAGGCAGGGGTCGAGAGACGGTCGGTTGGGTTACAGAAAAATCCCGTTACACCTGACTGCCTCTCCCTCCCCCACCTTGACCCCTTCCCTGCCCCCTGTGTCCTTCACGGCCTCATGCCTGGCTGAGCAGTGCACTGTGGGAGGCCAGTATGTGCAGGCAGTCGGCTCAGACATTCATCTCTCCTGTTTCAGGGGTGTCAGCAAAAACAATAAGACGCATGTTCAGCAGATAATGCTTACATGGCTGTCGCATGATTTATCCAAGGACACAACGCAGCAGAGAAAAAGTTATTGATCAGTTTTTTAAAAGCTCTAACATTTACAGTTTAGCTTGTTGTGGAGATTTATTTTTACAAGAACTCTAAAAAGAGAGTAAAAAATTTGAATAAAATTGCATCAAAAATCAAGGGATGCCAAAATGGCAAAAATGTAAACTGACGTATTGAAACAAGGCTAGAGTAAACTATCACACGTGTGAAGGTCCATTGCTGCATTTTAATGTGCATTTTCTACCTTTTTATTTCTGCTGTCATGAATCTTATAAACTCTAAAGCTTCTGTTGAAACCAAACATTAACTCTCTGCTTTGTATTTCCACTTGTTTGTCCTGTGATGATGGTTTATCTCTCTTCCCGTCACTCTCACTTTAATGTTATTCACAAAAAGGTAGAAAGTAAACAGACTTGAAAGAAGTTTTTCCATATTTTTAAAAAAATCTGACAGTGCTTTATTTTCACAGCTAAATTAGGCACTTGAGTGAATATTATACCTCTTATGAAACCACATTACAGGGAAATGAAGGACTAGCGTTTACCGTTGCATCAAGGCTCTTCAGAGATTAGCTGCGTCTTCCTGTCCTCTCGTTCATGGACACTCGTCTTTAATCTGAGCAGTAGTTATTATCCTGTCAGCCATTATCTGCTCTGTAAATTATATCCTGCACTTTCTCGGTGCCCCGCCTTTCTGCTATACAACATAACAGTGAGAGTCTGGGGTCCTTCAGAATTATGACGTAGTTCATTTCCATCGAAGCACATCAACCTTTTGTCATCCATCATCCTCATAATCACCGCTCTTACATCGCTTAGTTTAGCTCTAACGTCCACATTAAGATGGGAGTTTAAATACGAGCAGGTTGGAAACCACACCCAACCCGGTCCTGTTAAAGAACCAGCTTCTCCCTTTTTTAAGAAACCCCAAAGTCAAGGTGGAGTATCAATTAAATTAGATCCCCGGTGCACAAACATTTGTTGCTTTTGAAAAAAATTGAATTGCCAGCCAAGTGTTAAAATTTAGCAGTCAGCTCATCAGCACCTTAGACCACCTCCATCAACCTCAGTCATACTGAACATCCTCATGCAGCTGTCCTCATGTCCACATAAGAGCATTGAAGGTGTTTTAACTGGACCTTTAAAGCATGTACAGATGATTTCTGGTTGCCATAGCTCCTCACCCGTGTAGTTTATATACTGCTTAGTAGGGATGGGTGATATAGGCTAAAAAATTTATCATGATAGGTTTTGCCATTCTGGTGTTAAAGATAAAAGTCCTAATAAAAATATATTATGATTCAAGTCTATATTTTTGACTCATTTTGTCTTGAGAGCACCAGTTGGAGTAGTCAAATAAGATACTTGACCACAAGTTTGAGTGGTAGGTTGTGGAGAAAACTAACGACATCAAACAAGTCTCAAATGTGAAAACATTTTCAATATTTGTTAAAAAATCTTATTGCACAGAGTGAACAGCAGCAGATCCACTGTCTGATGTCAGGCATACCTGATTGGACTCATCTAAACCCCAATCTTGAAGGAAATCCTTCATGTGGAGCCTCGTTCAGTAACGAGCTGCTCAGAAACGTCTTCATTACCTTTAGCCGTGTTTCTTTGTTATTCTGCTCTGTGTGGGCTATGGCTGCGAGTCCGTCACTCACACTTAGGTAAAGAACTTGCATTTATTGTATTCATCATGAGATGGCAAATATTCATCATGAAGGACTTTTCTGACGATATATCGCAAATGATAATTAATGGCCTATCCCTACTGCACAGGTGTGTCAGGTCTGTGCAGTAATGTATAATTAAATTATCAAAGACCTATAAAACAATCAAATTAAAAAGTAATGTTTCTCTGAGATGGTCCTTATTTAGTGTCGTATTTTTGCAGTCGGAATTCATTTGCAATCGTTCCTACTTAAATCTGTGTGTGAGAGAGGGAGAGAGTGTGTGACAGGCCGAGATTTGTTGCCTCTCTACTTACCTGACTCCTCAGTGCTCTTACTGAGCATCCTCCAACCCTCCATCACTGACAGCCCTCTCCCTCTCTCTATCTCTCTTCCTCTTCCTTTCACTCGGAGCAGCATAAAGGGTTGAAACATGGTGGTTTTCAAAAGTTAAGATTTCAGAAAGTAAAAGTACAAAATTATGTTGACATGTTCAGTTTTTGTCTTTTTTGTAAATCTCGCCGACCTGCCTCTTTACTCCTAATCCGAAGCTCTCTCTCATCCTCTGCTGTCCACGTTGCTCGTGCTCGCTGTTTCTAGCTCCAGCTTACTCCTCTAAAGCCTCGTACCCCTCAGACATGAAATCCTCCAGCTTTTCACCAGATGCCTGGGACTTTCCCTTCTTACTGCAAAACCCATCAGCACACCTGTTCCTAATTCTCATTGGTGCTGCAGTAATCTGAGTTACCCCTCTTGTCGTAAACCTTACACCTAAAGCTGGCCTTATACTAGATGGTTTTAGACCAGACCCAATGATCAAGGAGGGATGATCTGATCGAGGCTTGTTATATCCGATTATCTATATATTTCAAATGATGAAAAAGGGCCAGGCGAACATTTTGTTATTCCCCACAGGTGTAGCTAAACCGCACACACATACACCCTCAAACACACACAGATCCTGTGTTTTTCACACCTGCTCCCCTCCCCTCTCCTCCAAAGCCATCAGCTCAGTGTAAGCCCCTCTCCAGCATGGAGCCAAAGAGTTCAGTGATGCCAAGCTGAGTCCCTTAATAACCCCACAGCTCTCTTGCCTGTTCCCTGTGCCAGCCCTGCTGCGAATGACAAGTCATGATTGTGGGCCCCGCCGAGACATGTGGTCCACTTCCTGTACGACCAGAGGGGGTGGGACTGGTCAGATGTGAGCTATCAGTCTTACCTGTGGTGAGGAAAGACACATGGAAACACTGTGGAGTCTATAAATGCAGGGCTGCTAGATCAGTGTGGAGGATTACTGGGAAATGAGAAGAGCATTAGGAGCCCTGTGGATCAAGGTTTAAGTACACTGGACAGACTTTTTAGTTTGCAAATTAACCCAAAACAGCAGATTTCCGTCTGTCAGGATAGATCCGACCCAAACCGCCCTCGGCGTGTGTGTGGGGGGACCGGAGCGTTTTGTAAATGACAGGAAAGTTCTTTAGCGCTTGAGGGTCAAAGTAATACTTAAGTGCAGCCCATAAAAATTTGTTTTTTAAATGAGGAGAAGTGTCAGAGTGCCCAAAATCCAAAGTTATCACACTCCAGAGGCCATAAAGTCATTTTACAACCAATAAACTTTGAACATGATGAGGAAGTCAAACGCAAACAGAAACTTTTAACTGCAGGAGAATCATCTAGAAACACCAATGGCACCAAAATAGACTCAGAGGCAGCAGTTTCTCCTTCACCCCGTCCCGATCGACTTTTTATTTTTACAGTGAGTGGCTGTGGCGTAGGCGGATTTTACTCATCAGTTCCAGGGTCAGGTTCAGTCTGTAAAACCAGGAATATAACCTCCCTTCACCCGCCTCAGGGGCTCGAAGCAAACCTGAAAGAGTGTTATTTGTATGTCTTTTCACCAGGAGACTTCTTGTCTTATGATGGTCAACATGTGAAGCCTTTTTGTCCAGACCAGAACAAAACAAAAATAGAAAAAACTCAGGAAATGCTTGTTATTTCTTGACTTGTGTAATATTAAAAACACAAACCTTAGGCTGTAGATAGTAGGAGTGATGCCGTACCTTTGTCCTCTGTGCCCTCCTCCCCCTCGCTCCTCCTCCCCTCTCATCTCCCAGTAAAGGCAGCAGAGCTGTGTGGTGATGGATAAGGCCCGAGTGCCTTAAAGGCTCTGCGGGGGTTGATGAATTCACCTCTCCTCCTCTGAGTGCGATCTGACCCCAGGCTCAGAATGAACTCCGGCATCTCAACAACTAAGAGAGCTTCAGCCCTGCACACAGGAACATGCAGCCCTGTGGCCAGAACACATGCACGTCCTGCAGCAGGAGGAGGAAACACGATCTGTGTTTTAAAACCTTCACTTAACCTCCCCACAGTTTCTCTGAGATAAAACTTAGTTTTTCAGCTCGTGCAAACTTAAAAAAGACACGAACAGTGTTGTTTTTATTGTATTTGAACTGTGACTGATGAGCAGTGAGTTTTTGTTTTTAACTTTGCTCTTGTTTTTGATTCCTATCTCTGAGATAAATGGCAGAGTACCATGCTGCATGAACCATTTCCAAAACTGTGAGTTACTTCAAAAAAACGCAGCTTCAATTAACTTGCAAGCTGCCGTGAGATCAAAACGCTGCAGTGATTAGTCAGAGTTTTGCCAAGGGTGTTTTATCAAAGCGGACAAACTTTGGTCGAGAATTTTGTCTTTTATCGAGGATTCACAAAAAAGAGGTTGGGATGAAATAGTCCGATACAGTTTAGGGGTTTTGAAATTAATCGTTCCTATGATGCAAAGAAACACAGCCATGGGTAAATCTGTGTTGATATACAGACTGAAGATAACTCGTACTCTGTGCTGTGTGCAGTGCATTGTGTAGGAGAGCCCTGCGAAGCTGACATGCACTGCAGACAGCAGCAGACAGATGTTGCAGGTGACACAGCAACTTTTATCCTTTAAAAATCCACATGCATTTAGTTCTTGGCGAGTTTTGCACCACACGCCACTGTTTACTGCTTTTGCACATCCCGGACTCAAGCATATAAATGTGTAGATGTCTGTTTCACCCTGTGGTGCATAGACAGAGGTCAGTATATCAGGGAGAGAGCAGTGATGATGCACAGCCCGACTACATACATCTGCTGAAGTCATAGGCAGTACTTTTAGTGCTGCAACATTTAGCTAATTAATTCTTTAATTATACTGTTTCTGTGTAGCAGCAAATTCCCAGAGCATCCCCCAAGGAGACTGTAACCTCTTCCTTTCTTCAGGGGCCTCAGAGTAGTCTCGCTGGTTTTATAGGTGTCTTTTAATTAGCCGCTAATGAAGACAGAGCGGAAATGGTTCCACTGATCAATTGTGCACATAATTAGATCAGGGATTTTATAGTGAGAAACTGGAGAGAGGCAGAGAGGAGGAAAAAGAGAGAGGGAGAGAAAGAGAGAGCCGTATGTAAACAGTCAAGTGTTAGCAGCCCATCAGCTGTCACATGGTGCGTTCAAGTGCATCCCTTTAGCTCTGGATGGCAGGTTCAACAATCAGAAGTACAAACAGTCCTTTACCGGAAAATGATTCAGGAATTAAGGCACTTTTTCAGCTGCTGGCCCGGCTTTCGGGCTCAACTCGGCTTAAATGTGATCAGACCTGCAGGTTTTTCCAATTGTACCTGGTTGGGTTATTCATAAAGATGTTAACTTTTCATACAGAATTTCAGACAGTGCCTGAAGGCAGCTGAGATGAGCTCTCTGCCCTGCATTATTGAGCCAGAGCTCACACAGCAACAGAGAATAGTCTCAAGGTGGATTAATACTGCCCCCTGCTGACTCTGGCTGGTTACTCTGTCTGTGCGCCATAAGACTTAATACAAACTGATTGTGACATAAGAAACATCTGCCTTTATCAGAGATGTTTCAAAGACTGATAACACGAATTTTAGTTTAGATGGTTTATAATTTAGACACTGACCTTTCACCTCTTGGACTGTTGAGCTCCTGTTCATTTCTAATACTGTAGCACAGATCCAGTTTTTTTAACTGTCCAACATTTTCAAACTTTCCCATGTCCTAGTAAAAAATCAACACCAGAGATAATTGGTAAGTCTCGACTTAAATTGGAAAGCCTTTATTCATAGGACATTTTGCAAAAGAAAGGAAACGTTAGGACTGAGTGAGAAGGAAATAACATGCATCAAATCATGCTGAGATTGAGATTTGGTCTTGTAATCAGAACACGTCCTGAGACAGCATCCCTGAAAAGTTCCTTGACTTTACTGATGAGCACTATGTGTAAACTATTCCAGTCATTACTCATTATTTGCTTGACTTTAACAACCTTGCTTCAAACTTGTAGGCAGGTTGGAAACTTCACTGTGTTTGTCAGACATGGATTGAAAGGTAGATCAGCATCATTAGCAGCTAATGTTACCATTTGTTTTCTTCCTCAAATGCATCCAGGGAAAGTGGGATTGTCTTACAGTTGGGGTTTGTAATTAAATGCCAGTTTGCAGTTAGTTACAACGGATATCTGCTCATGAATGAGGCCGTAACGCTCCACTATTGTGGTGCCTGAGAGGATGAAAGATGGAGACACATGTTGGACAAAGTTGTGCAAAAATAAGAAAGTTTACAAAAAACTGAGATGGAGCTCTGATGCCTGTCTAAGGGAGTGGATATCAGTATCATAAAGACAGTTATTAACAATCAAACAGGCCAAAAAAATACAACATCATAGAGTGTTTGAAGTAGGTAAGTATGTTCATGATAATGCAGATTGTGTCGAAATGTCATTCGGCCTGATTCATCGTCTATGACATGATTGTGGCTGGTGCCTCACATCTCTTATCACCCTTAGTTTATTGTACATGTAGATCCCACTGTGATTAAGGTCATTTTATTTTCTGTAGTTTAAAGTTTTATTTTTTCTTGACTGTTTTCTTTTGATTCATTAAATTTTTTTTTCTTCAAATTCAGAATTATAAAGTTAAAAGTGTTGATTGTGTCGAAAGTAGGCAGAGTATTGCAGTTAAATGTTCTGTATCCATACCACCACTTGAGGTCAGCGTTTCCTTAGTAACTGATGGACTTGTTTGGAGCTCAGAAAGAAATACAGATTAATTATATGTTAGTTATATTTAGAGCAAATGATCACTTTTATTATGTGTTTGTGATCTTGTCAGAAAGGTAATGAACTTTTGAATTTAAAAGTTGATTATAAGATAGTAAAAGTTTGGATAACTTATGACGGTAATTAGGCAGCTGCAAAATGTTTATATTTTTCTGAGAGAAACCTTTAAGGTTGGTTTATTTGAGAACTTTTATTTGACATTGTTATTTAAAAGCAAGAACATCTCAAGTTGTATGTGTTTTTTTTTCTCTGTTTAGGGCCGCCTGCATGAACAAGAGGAAGCTGCTGTGTGCTTCTGGTCGATTATTCAGATCCATGGATGGAGAATCAGAGAGACAGAGCAGCAAACAAGGAAGTGAGGAGTAAGTGATGTCTCCTGCTTTATATTTGTTTGTGAGTCTTGGAGTCAAGGATAAGTATGTTTATATCTCATCAAAATGCCCCTGAATGTGTCAGCTGCACCTCTCCAGTACACCTCCACCTCCCAGCACGCTCTGCCCTCTTTTTCTCCCGCCCACATCCGAGCGTGCAGCAACAGGAATGTTTTATTTAGTATCACGTTCAGCAGCGGAAAAACTACCTGCATGTCTAGTGGTGATTTAAATTTATTTGACTCTTGTGTTTAAAGGACTTCGGTTTCAACAAGATTAGTTTGTGATTGAAAGAAACAGAGCATGCATCTTGAGTTTACACGCTGTCGAGGAGCAAGGAAACCTTGAAAAATGGAGGCTCATTATGCCTCAAAGCTTTGCAAATAAGGCTGGGCTCATCCTTTTGCTGCTGAGTTCATCTGCTTTCGTTGCTGTGTTGTGCACGCACCAACACAAGCCTGGACAAATGTTTTTGGGATGGTGGAAATTCCCTCTTGTGCTTTTCATTTTCTGGTTTGGCTGAACATGCAAGCCTGTAGACGAGCATACTTGCACAGAATCAGAGTCCAAAAGCTGAAGATTCTCCGCAGCATAATGTTGCTGCAAAGTGACCATCTGGTGTCCAGAGGCTTCCCCCAGATACTTGAAATTACAGGCTTTTAGTTACCTCACCATGTCACCGCAGAGTGCTCCTGTGGCCTTGGACTGTGGTGTGTCCTCACATCCAGGCTTCATGTTTGGCTCATGTCAGCCTCTCATAACACACAAGGACACGTACATGGGATTGGCAACCGCACAAACACAGGGAGAGGCTCGCCCGGCCACAGGATGTTGTCCTTTCCAGTAAGTGATGATTTCCTGGAGGGCTCAGTGCCTGTGCAGCATCTGCGGATTGTAAAAAGACTTTAAAGTACATCAGAGAGAAAGAGAGGGAGACATGCTCCACTTGTTCTTCCTGACGCCACTTTTGTTGCGGTTCAAATGCAATCACAGGCGTGGAGAGATGGCACCAAAACACAAACAGGCAGCCGTGATGAGGTCTGCCTCACAATGCAGTCCGCAGCTGTGGTCCGCCTTGAGATGTGAAATCCCTGTGTGGTTGGTGTTAAACAAGGACAGAGGATAAAGTTTATGAAATACTTAAACTGCTTTCTTTTCCATTAACTCATTCAGTGCCATGTTCATTTATGCAATTTTCACCCAGTGCCACCATTGACCGCAATGGAAATTTTTGTATATTTCAGGACCCACAGAATATCTTGTGTTTGGACTAGAATTAAGTGCAATATCTCAAAAGAAAGGGATGATTCTCTTCTTTCACTAGAAAAAAAAGTTAGTCTCTAACCCACTCCTGTGTTTAGCTATTGCTTGCTCAATGCAGCATGGTCATATCATCTTTGCCGATATGGAAAAACACATTTTTACTCATTCTCACTGGCAAGTCCTTTTTTTTTGTTATTGTAACATGGTTATGATGTATTTGTTGGCTTTTCTGCGTTCAGAACGACCCCAAACTTAGTCGCGTGTTGGGGAGGAGCGCCCTCTGGCGGAAAACAAAAAAACTGAAAAATCGGTCAAAATCAGTCAATGGCACTGATTGAGTAAAGTATTTGGATGAGACTCACTTAAGATAATCACTTGTAAGAAAAATTAAAAACAAAATAAGTTTGTTTTAAGGTGCCAAGGAAATCTAGTTTTGTTTATTTTCAGGTTTTCTGGTATTCTGACACCCCTCACTTTCCTCTATTTCACCATTTAATTTCATCGTTTAATTCTACTTGTAGCAGAATCATTTCAGTCTGCTTTCCTCTGTTGTGAATTTGCTCCCAGCCAAACGCTACTCTTTATCCCTCTGGACATCTCTGTCATTGGGCAAAGAGATCTGAACAACAGCTATTTGCCGCAGCAAACCAGAGCGTATAGAGCCATCACCGCCCGATGAATCTGTGCTGGGCCGGCTCTCACAAACAGGGAGCAGCAGAGTGGAAAGGACAGCTCTTTTTCTCAGCTGTGCAGCGAGACGCACCGTCTCCCTCAACCTGCTACAGCCCCATTACTTAGCC